GTTACATTAAAATAAATTTAAAAATGAATGAAAAATACACTTCAAACCTCATCATCAAACTCTCCAACGCTGAACAGCCCCTTCCATTTACTACAAGCCTGTGTCAACAAACATATTATAAGAATAGTGTTTAGTGAAGCATTTCTTCAATAAAAAGGGAGATGTTGATTTTAGTTATACGGTAAATAGTTTACTTAAGTTAAACATGCTAATTGTTTGTAGCTTACCGTGGCTGTCATGTCTGCTCTGTTAATAATACGAGCACATCAGTATCGCGACAAGCGTAAATTACTAACTTAAACAATTTACTGTTTAAGGTGTTGATCTTGTTAGATGTGTATAAAGAGAAAAGCACCGATGTAAAGTATAAATCTCCAGTTTTCTTCGCGCCGCCACGTTCAAACACGTACGACGTGAGTGACGTAGGCGAGTGACGTGTATTGTTGACGCGTAGAGCACAGGTGAAGTGGCTCCATCTGCTGGAGAAGAGAAAAAAAGTGTCCATGTCTCCTAAATTATTGGCGACTAAAATACGGTGCTTTTCACTAAACAAGTCTTCTATTTCATTCAGTTCATACTAGGCCACGGCCGACCTAACGACTGTTGAAAATATGTACTAATAATTTTAGGGTTTGTTAATGTTTTGTTAATAATGTCCCAGTTTTTAGTGCGTAATAAAACCGTTTGTTCCAATGTTAAGCAATGTTTTCCTTTTTATTTAGCGATAAGTGTTGGTGGTCCATTTGATTCCTTCATTTACCTGCAGATGTTATTTTAGTACCATCTACTGAGGTCGTGTTTCCACTTGCAGGTTTGGACAAATTACAGCTAACTGTTGTAATTGCCGTTAGTGCAGATCATATGAACAAGCCTGAATGCTGCCAGACTTAAAACTATCTCCCAGTTGCAGTGATATACCAAGCAGTAGCTAAACCCAAAAAGATTTTTAGAAAAAATAAAAATTTAACGTCAGTAATGTATATTTTATCAAGACGTGTTGGCTTGGGAACCAAGTGAAACCAGCTTAAGTAACTAAAAAACAGTCAATGCCATAATTGACTAATGAAGGAAATGTAACTCCCCAAATAGTCGATTACATTAACATTAAATCATAGCCAAACTGTAAGACACTGTTAGCTGCTTTTTAAACAAGTTAAAAAACAATTGAGTTTTTTTTTTTTTGCTGAACATTTGTTGAATCCACTTAAATTTTAGGGATGAATTGATTTGCATTGGGACAACAAGAATGAATTGTGAAACATTATGTACTTGGGATTTGTTAATTTTAGCAATAGCTGAAGACATAACTAAATAATCTCTCAATATTTAGTTGAAAAGGGAAAACATTTTGTATTTACATCAAAAAATAAGACAAACCTCTTTCTGCCGTCAATCAAGACAAAAAAGTCTATTACATCTCAACTGCATTTACTAACATTGAGGCTGTAAAGTGTTACTATACAAGCAAGCACAATTCTGAGAATTTAAAACGGATAAAGGACATCCAAAAAAAAATCACATTGAGGGTCATTTTTCTAAAAGATGCTTGTGCACAAAGGCATTAAAGACTGTAGTATAAACAATCAACCAATGTTCTTTTTAAATTTTTTATTTAATTTTTCAACAACACAGAGGAGCCATATTGTAAAAACATCAGTTCTAGAACTTCTGGAACTGCTTCTTGGCTCCAGCTGCCTTGGTGACCTTCAGGACGTTGAACCTCACAGTCTTGCTAAGAGGTCGGCATTCTCCAACTGTAACGATGTCACCTACGGTCACATCCCTAAACAAATAGAGAACATTAATAATACTGGTAATAAACAAAGTGAAAAATTAAAGCATTAACCATCAACACATCTTAAACCAATTATAACAAAACTTATGATAAACTATCTGCTGCATCAGTGATGCCATAAGGCAATGTCGTCAGAGCCTGAAAGACTTGGAAGACCATCGTGAGAAAAAACATCATTTGCAGCTAGCTACAAATTCAGATGACATCTTAAAACTCAGTGTGTCTAGATTTTAATTTAACCAAATAAATGAAAGTGCCACAGCAGGAATTTTACCTGAAGCATGGGGAGAGGTGGACAGACATGTTCTTATGTCTCTTCTCAAAACGGTTGTACTTGCGGATGTAATGCAAGTAGTCCCGTCTGATGACGATGGTCCTCTGCATCTTCATCTTGGTCACCACACCTGAGGAAAAAAAAAACATCAGAAACTTAGTGTATTGTAATCGAGATGTAGTTTTAAGCTTTGATTTCCAAAAATGACAGGGAAGCATCAGTAAAGCCATAAGGCATCATCCTCAAAACCCAAAGGGTTCAGAAGACCATCGTGAGAAAAGACATCACCTGCACCCCAACAACACTACAATTAAACTGCCAAGGAATATGAAGACTCACCGGAGAGAATCCGGCCTCTGATGGACACATTTCCAGTGAAGGGGCATTTCTTATCAATATAAGTGCCATCAATAGCCTGTGAAAATAAAGCACAAGAACATTAGTCCACTGAACTTAACTGGATTAAACTAAATTTATACTCCACTGCATCAGCATTGCCATTAGGCAGTTTCCTCAGAGCTCTTTAAGAGTTTAGGAAGACCATCGTGAGAAAGACATCATCTGCAACAAAGTTACAATCATGAATACAAACACAAACTCACTTCTCTGGGGGTTTTGAAGCCCAATCCAACGTTTCTGTGATAACGAGGGAGCTTTTCTTTGCCACTTCCTTCAACTGCCAGAACCCGCTTTTTGTTCTGGAAGATGGTGGGCTGTTTCTGATAAGCCCTCTCGTTCTGAAATTAAGCACAAGCACAGAGTCAGTCACAATCCTTGTGTAATAAAAATAAAAGCCTCTTCTGTCATCTTCTTAAGATGACTCAACGTCGAGCGTTTCCAGTCATTAGTTTAACAGTTTTAGGACTTTTGCTGCATCAGTGATGCCATAAGGCAGTGTCGTCAGAGCCTGACAGACTTGGAAGACCATCGTGAGAAAAAACATCATTTGCAGCTTCGTGTGTATTTAGTAGGTGTATTAAATGCACACGTAATCCTTAAGAAAACAATCTAGAAATGCGTTTTGGGTTAATGACGTTACAAAATAAAAGCATTTGTTTTACAATCACCGTTATTAGAGAACATTTTCATTGCTCATTTTGGTAAGGAGCGACTAAACTACGGTCTCTATTGGTTTATCACTTACAAAGAGTGAATCAACCACCCATGCTGATTTACACACTGCTAGAGTATCTGCTTGTAACTCTGAAGTGTTTATGAAGCCACGTTCTGCTGGTGTAGTAAAGGAAGGCCGCTCGTGTTCCCGTACAGCAACACTTCCTACACGCTAGCCGGAACAGAAATAGCATATTATAATGCCGAATACAGTCCGTTTTGGCCATGACTGCCTCCATGCACGTTTATTTCACGCTAATCCACCATAACGTGCGGCTTTAGATTTAACTTTGACGGTAATTCAAACGCTTTTTTGCGACCACGCCGTTCGGAGTCACATACCTGAGTGTCCGCCATCTTCGCCAGCCGAGTCGTAAAGAGGACTACACATGCGCGAGGCAGACGGAAGACAGTCTTTCACGGATATGACGACAAAGCGTAGGCGGGGCTTATATCCTTTACAATAAAATAACTTTAAAATCGTTTTCATATCATAGATTCTAAGCTAAGCTCTTTGACATAACGTTTCATTTAAATGCGGTGGATGCTGACAGAAATAATAAATATAACTTATAATATGAATATACACAGATGGGAGAACGAAAAGAAAGACAAATAGCGTAAGTATGATCTAACAGTTAATAAATCAAAGCGGTGAGTAATTATCGGCAACTGTTAACTAATTCTACCAGTGTAGTTTAATCTATAACAATACAGTAACACGGGATTGGAATAGGCTGACCTATAAAATAATATAATTCATTTTTTTAAAGTTTATAATGTCCTGTTACTTTTTGAAGTAAACCAGCACAATTTTTATATAATTTATATATAAATACATATATTTGAAATTAGAATTATTAACCCCCTTTGAATTTTTATTTTTTGTTTTATATCGGCTAGAATAAAGGCAGTTTTACATTTTTCAAAAACAATTTTATGGTCAAAATTATTAGCCCCTTTAAGCTATGTATTGTTCAATAGTTTACAGAACAAACCATCGTTATACAATAACTAGCCTAATTACCCAAACCTGCCTATTTAACCTAATTAACCTAGTTGAGCCTTTAAATGTCACTTTAAGCTGTATAAAAGTGTCTTGAATAATATCTAGTAAAATATTATTTACGGTCATCATGGCAAAGATAAATTAAATCAGTTGTTAGAAATGAGTTATTAAAAATATTGTGTTTAGAAATGTGTTATAAATTAAACAGAAATTGGGAGAAAAATAAACAGGGGGCTAATAATTCAGAGGACCCAATATAATATATGAATTGTGTGTGTGTGTGTGTGTGTGTGTGTGTGTGTGTGTGTGTGTGTGTGTGTGTGTGTGTGACATTTTTGAGAAAATAATGATGCTTTAAAATAATATTGTTCTTTCATACCCTAACAATATTTAACATTTGTAGATCAACATTCCAGAGAAACTAATCATTTTCAAGTGGACTCTTATTTTTTTTAAAAGCTTGCTTAATTCTAAATCTGTGAAGAAAATACATTTTTAAAAGTTTGTGTTTTGTGTTTGAATCGTATTTAATATCGGACCTTTATGGTTTACATGTATGGTTTATATAGTATGAAGAGGGAAAATGCAGTAATTGTGAACCTCACACTGAGCATAAATATGCAATTTGTTGCATGTGTCATTACTTACATCATAAAAACTATAAAGAAATTCTTGAAAATCAATGATAAGTTAATACCAAGTTAACAATGTTTCCTCTAAATTCGTGTTATTATTTGAAGCTCGCTGAATCAGACTGACTTCCTTCCTGTAAAATATTGTCGTCACGCGGCGGAAGCGTCTTCTTCAGTTCGCTTATTTTCATGCTAATATGGCAGCGCCGTCGGGTGGAGGCGATACGGGTAAGTGCCGCGTTTATGTTTTAATTATGATTTTCGCCTGTTTTACCGTCTCGTAACTCAAACGACTAAAATTGCATCTAGACGGATGCTTTCATATACAATAGAAGGTTATTTCTCTTGTAAAACAGGAGTTTGCTCAGTGCTGTTCACAGTCTCAGCCCCGCTGTCTAGTCAGGAACATGTCTGTACAAATACCGATCACCATCCGCTCAGAACCACTGACAGACAGACAACAATTAAACAAGCCAGCTATAAAACCAATGTCGTGTTTTTGGCGGCATCTTAAAGTGGCACCGCATTCCAGACAACATTGTTATCATCATTTACTTTCCGAATAGATTAATGGGAATCATGTATTGAACGATCAAGTGCTTAAAAACATTCGCGTGATTGTCAGAGCCTCTGTGCGTGCGTGTGTGCGTGCGCGCTGGTTATTCACATGCCCAATATCCAAAGTATGACATCATCTTTTTAGTGCTGTTAGCAGGGGTTGTAAACAATGTTCCGGGCTGGGGTGATGTCGGTTTAAAGGCACAGTGTTGGGAAAAATACAAAAATTACGTCATTGTTGAATCTTAACGTGTTGTTGTTTCACTGTTTCTGTTATTGGAACGCAAACATACTTGCTAGACTGTATAACAAGATCTGTAACATCATGTGCCAGACTGTCATGAAAGGTCATTGAGGTTGTCTAACAACTTATGAGGGTTTTGATTCATTGATATGTTATGATGACTGTCATTTTCAAGGTAATCTTAACACCTTTATGTTGACATAATATTTATAATATCATGTAATGTACACTCACCGGCCACTTTATTAGGTACACCTGTCCAACTCCTCGTTAACCCAATATTCGAATCAGCCAATCACATGGCAGCAACTTAATGCACTTAGGCATGTAGACATGGTCAAGACGCTCTGCTGCAGTTTAAACGGAGCATCAGAATGAGGAGGAAAGGTGATTTAAGTGATTTTGAATGTGGCATGGTTGTTGGTGCCAGATGGGCTGGTCTGAATATTTCAGACACTGTTTATCTACTGGGATTTTCACGCACAATCATCTCTATGATTTAAAGAAATGTTTAGAAAAAGAGAAAATATCCAGTGAGCGGCAGTTCTCTGGGCGCAAATGCCTTATTGATGCTAGAGGAGAATGGCCAGACTGGTTCCAGCTGATAAGAAGGCAACAGTAACTCAAATAATCACTCGTTGCAACCGAGCAATGCAGAAGATCATCTCTGAACGCACAACACATCCAACCTTGAGATGAATGGGCTACAGCAACAGAATACCACACTTTTGGGATGTGGTCGAACGGGAGATTATGGCAGTTATGAAGGCAAAAGGATCCAACCCGGTACTAGTAAGGTATACCTAATAAAGTGGCCGTTGAGTGTATATGTAGGTGCTGGCAAATATATATTACATGAAAAATTGTACCTTATTTCAAGAATATATATATTTTTGATCACTAAGAGCATTTTTGTGCATAAAATCAAATAAGAGTTTCCATTTATATTAAAGTTTTACGTTAAGAAGAGTTTATAAATGTTAATAAATTAATATGCTTATTTTGCTGAACAGTTTTCTTTTTTTAATGGTCTAAATAACCATATTTTTACTTGCAATTATCAAACATTTAAAGAGTAATAAAACATTGTAGTCAAACTTATGCCTAGAAAATCCATATTCTCTTAATTTTTTCCAAACTTTCTTTAAAGTTCATGGAAACTAATGTGGTTCAATGTGATGCCTAACCACAAAATATGTACAGCCATCTTAGAAACTTTCCATTCACATTTCACACATATTACATTTAAATGAGAAGAAACTCACAAAGATAAAATAAAACAAATTTAAAATGGCGTTTCACGCGATTAAAACATAAGCCAGATAAAGCTAGCCATAAAATTATAAATAAAAGCCAAAATTTACTTATTAACAAAGCAACATATAACTCAGTTGTGTCTATTGGATCGTAAATGCATACGATGCAGAAAATACTGTCTCGGGAGGCAGCTAGAAACCGCCTCTATGCAGTGTGTTCGTGTGAAGTGAAGGTTCAGCAATCTGAGGTATTTCTGAGCCCTTTTGTTTTATTTGAATATTCAAATGCATGTAGAGTACTCAAGAGAGTCTTTTATAACTTGCGCTTGAGGGATTATTTAAGTTTAAGCGAGTTTATTTCTCCATAGGAAATTCATGCATATTAGTTTCTTTACATCAGTATTACTCACCAGGAAATTGAAACCAAATGTGTTAAATTATACATACACTGCTGAGTCATGTAGCAAACAATATGGAACAGTTCCACTGTCAGATGCTTATCTGCTCGACTTCAGGTTCACCTCTGGCCTTTTAAAACAGCAGTTCAGTTGAAAATGGAAAAATACAAAATACCACCATCTGATATTTAAGCCTATGTAGATTCAGTACATTTATAACGCATGGCTAATATAACAAATGCATCCAACAAACCGTATGAGGTGGACCCAGTACTAAATTAAGGAGTTAATTGTTATTGCTTAAAAAACTATTTCTGCAAAGATTTAGGATGATGTAGAATTAGTCACTCAAGACGTAAAACCAATTTGTGAATTTATTAAGCATGAAAAAGTACACTCAAGTGTTCACTCAAGTAATACAAGTTTTGCTCTAAGCTTTTTTTTTAAATGGTAAAATAACTTGTTTATTGTTGATAAATAGTTTCTTATTCATTATTTAATAGTTTGATTTGAATATGAACTCAAGGTTTCATAAAACGTCACTGTACTACATCTACGTAACTAAAAAAAAGCAACCATAAAACATTGAAAATACAAAAAATAACAAAATTCCATTTAATTGAACAATAGGAACACCTGTTTCAGAAAGTTGAGTATGCTTTGTATAATATTATTACTTTGATATTCCTCAAAGAATCATTATAACTATTACCCTCTACTTGCCTATTTCTTCTTTCTTTTTTTACCCCAAGAACTAAACTATTTAATGTAGAACATTTAATTTACTTTATCACAAAATAGGTTTTAGCAATGCGTTTTTACATAATATGTTTGTTAAAAAGACACATTAATTTACATATGTTATAAGGTTTTATTTTGATTATTAGTTCATCTACATGCTAAGCAGTAGGCCTGCACAAAATATTGTTTTTAGCATCGATATCGCAATGCAATTATCGCAAGTTATGCAATGTTAAGTCTGGATTATAGTTGACCATGTGTAGGCATGGGATGATAACCGTTTTCAAGGAATAACGCGTTTTGGAAAAGTCAAGGTTCCAGCAGAAAAGATATCCAAAGATGCTGTTTTAAATTCTAAAGAAATCAGTGTTTTTGAAACTAATGAAGACAGCATAAATCTATGATTAATTTGAATTATTTAGGCTGACATATTCACAGCTCCAAAACGTTTTACATGTTTCTCAAAATAAAATATTTTTAGAACAAAATAAAATTCTGAATGAATTCTATGAATTCAGACAATACTCGGCTCGCATACTGTTTTTAGCATACTTTATACTATGGAAGTATGCGATTTTGGATGCAGCTATTGTGTTCAAAGTGGACAAAGTTTTTTTTTACCCAGACATTAAAAAGAATATATTGTAGAGCAGTAATCACTGTGAAACCATGATATTTTTATCCAAGGTTATCATACCGTTAGAATCTTACAGCGGCCCATGCCTAACCAGGAGCTACAGAACTGTATTTAAACTTTGTATTAATACATTTAATTTATAAATACAGAATTTATATGAATTTATAAGATTCACAAAAGAACAACAAAAAAACTTTTTCTTACTTACAATTTTTGTCTTCATATCTACATTTCAAAGTTGTTTAACTTACCCCACTGGCAGACACTCTTGCTTGTTTTAAGAAAAAAAACTCTTAAACTCTTAATTTTCCCTTATTTCATCTGAATTTTAAAACAAAAAATATTTTTACTTGATCTAAGAGTTTTCCATATATATATATGCACTTTAAAGACAATTAGATCCTGCATTTACTGTTTATTTTGGTATCGATATAGCAACTTTAATATGGCATTAAATATTAAATACATATTTTTACAATTTTTATGCTTAATCAGCTAAACATCCTTTTCTTTAAAATACAATTGCATGAGTTTCTCTCATATATCGTGCTGATTTAAATCCGATTTAAGTTCTCTATAATTCTGTAGGCAGTGGCAATGACCAGATACTTGACTTGGGAGCTGCACTTCTCAACAAGTGAGTATTATTTTTATCTCCCCTTCTCATTTTCCGTGCTCTCTGCATTTGTTTTTGTTCTTGACCTCTGCCTCTTGCAGCTTTGTGTATGAGCGTGTTCGTCGGCATGGCGACAGGGATGCTGAAGTGACCCGGAGTCAGCTTGGGGGCGTGGAGCTGTGTGACCCCAGCCATAAACGCCTCGCGCAGTGTTTGCAGCAGATCGGAGATGAGCTGGATGGAAATGCGCAGCTGCAAAGGTAAGAATGATAACATCACCACCGTCTCCTGCTATGATCAGAAAGGCCCACTGGATGGCAATGTACTGCTACTCATCCATGTGTCTCTGTTGTGGTTTTGCTTTAGCATGTTAAACAACTCTAATCTTCAGCCGACTCAAGATGTCTTCATCAGAGTGGCCCGTGAGATCTTCTCTGATGGCAAGTTCAACTGGGGAAGAGTTGTGGCGCTTTTCTACTTTGCCTGTCGCCTTGTCATCAAGGTGAGGCCTTGCATAGGTTTTCACCATTGATTAAGGTTTTTCATTGCAAGTGTTTACAAGCAAATTATCTATACATTTTTGAAAAATTAAAGTGCATTATATAATATTAAGATATAAAGATTATTTTCTAGATAATGATTTGACTTTTGGGAAGTTGTGGGCTGAATAATAAGACTTATTCACTTTCTACAGGTAATATATTTAGGTTTTAAGTAATTTAAATATGCAGACAATATGGCACTTGTAGGCCGGTTGACTAAAATAGGAACAGAAGGAGATACCTTGTACTATAATTATATAAATTTGCTTCAAAATTGGTGTAAAAAGTGTTCACTGGAGATCAATTTTAATAAAATTCAATTCAATTCAGCTTTATTTGTATAGCGCTTTTACAATGTAGATTGTGTCAAAGCAGCTTCACATAAATGGTCATAGTAACTGGATCAGGGTAGTTCAGTTTTTAGTGTTTAAGTTCAGTTCAGCTCAGTTCAGTGTGGTTTGAAGTCATTATTGAGAGTCCAAACACTGAAGAGCAAATTCATCGATGAGTAGCTTTTCAGATCCTGAACCATGCGAGCCAGTGGCGACAGCGGAGAGGGAAAAAAAACTTCACCAATAGGAGAGTGAAGAAATAAAACCTTGAGAGAACCAGACTCAGTTCGGCACGACCATTTTAATTTCTTTGCTGGCCAAAACCAAGGAGATGATAATTAGCAGAAATAAACTAGTCCTTAGTCAAGGGTTTAAACCTCTGGTCCTTGAGGGACATGAAATAGAGACAGTTGGCTGTTTTAAATATTTAGGAACACTTATTGATAGTGGATTGCAGAAAGCATTTTTTAAAAAGCAATGCAGAGATTATATCTCAATTATATATCAATTATATACAACAATTTGGTGTGAAAAAAGAACTTTGTTGAAAGTGTCATAAGTTTTAACATGATTGCATGGTATGGACTGTTGCCAATTAAGGAAAAGCAAAAACTGTGTCGAGTAGTAAAAATTGGCAGTGCAATTGTAGGTAAAACACAAAGACAGCCAATTGAAATTTATTCAATGAGAATTAAACAGAAAACACACATCATTATTGAAGATTGTTCCCATGCCTTAAATCTAAAATTTCAGCTCTTGCCATCAAAAAGATGTTTTAGGCAACCTCAAGTAAAAAAAATGTGTGTCAAATGTCCTTTGTGCTGAGTGCCATTAGAATTTTAAATACTGGGTTCTAAGTATGTATAGGTTTTTAAATGGAGTTTTTTAATGTGATATATGTGATAACGCTTAGTGTATTTGTGTTGCCTGTTTTTTCTGTGATGTGTGTAATGTGAACGTTGATCTGTTTGTGTTAGTATTAGTGTTTTCTTGGTTACGGCTGTAAACAAAGCATGCGGTATTTAATACACTTATTAAAGAGTTAATACCGTTTGAACTCTTCTGAGTTTCCTTTATACATACACTTTTATATCCCTGAGCAGTGTCTAGAATTTTCTTCCAGTGTTTCGTACATCAGGGAACAGTGAGCTTCTCTATCTGTCACAGGCCAGATTTCTGCTGCATATTTTTCCAACATCTAAATAATCCACAAATTAAATCATCAAATACATTTTACTCTTATTTTTTTGAATCTTTAAGTATACTGAATTAAACAGCAACTCTGTTCAATGTAATTCATCACCACAGCAGCATGTCAGTACAGTTATAAAAGAAGATGCTTCAGACGTCATTTGTGGATGTTAAATCAGGTTTATTTTGTACATTAAAATTACAGATATCCATACAGCAGTGGATATTAATATGTATCCTGTCATATTTACAAAACAGGTGTGTGCTTGTCACAACATCTCAAATTTCAAGATTCAGAAAGGTATAAATAATCTGATGGGGATTTTCAACTGAAACTTTACAGACACATTATGGAGACACAAAAGACTTATCTTAAATCTTTAGAAACAGTGCAAAATAGGTGCCCTTTAATAGTACATTTTACATTTGTGCATTTAGCAGACACTTTTATCCAATGCGGCACCCATGAAAACACATCTGGAGCTTTGCTCAAGGGAATCATTTCGGACGTGGTATTGAGGGTGAAAGAGGGTGCTTGTTATTCACTTCCCCTACTTGCAATACCTGCTAGTGTCTGGACTCATACCTGTGACCTTTGAATCACAAGTCCAACTCTCTAACCATTAGGTTCAATTAAGTCTAAGCATTAGATCGACTTAAAAGGACTGTTTCTTTTGGTTATCTTATATCAGGTTCGGACTATTTGCTTAGCTTTAAAATGGCATTCATTCTTTGATGATGCCTGTAGCATAATCGGTGAACTATGCTTAGCCAGACACCTCCATCTCTTAGTTTGCTGTTCTCTGGCCTCTGTTTATAATCTGTAGACACACTTTGTAGTATCATCTATGCAGGCTCAGTGGTTAGCACTGTTGCCTCACCGCAAGAAGGTTGCTGGTTTGAGTCCCGGCTCGACCAGTTGGCATTTCTGTGTGTAGTTTGCATGTTCTCCCCGTGTTGGTGTGGGTTTCCTCCGGGTGCTCCGGTTTCCCCCACATTCCAAAGAATGCGCGAAAGGTGAATTGAATAAACTAATTTGGCCATAGTGTATGTGTGTGTTTGTGTGTGAATATATGGGTGTTTCCCAGTACTTTGCTGGAATAGTTAGCAGTTTTTTCCACTGTGGCGATCTCTGAAATAGAGACTATGCCAAAGGGAAATTAATGAAAGAATTAAAGATGCGTTAGGTCTCTGCTGGTGATTGAAAGTAATTTTGGTATAGATTTTAAATATGTCTTTTATTTTTTATTCTTGTACTTCTAGGCTATTTCAACCAGGGTTCCTGACATCATCAGAACCATCATAAGCTGGACGATGTCCTACATTCAGGAGCACGTCATTAACTGGATCAGGGAACAGGGTGGATGGGTAAGTCATGACTGTAACTCAATCAGTTCTTTAAAGTCTTGTGGAATGTGTCATGTGTCGGTGTGATATGTGCCAAATCCATTGATTCCATGATAAACATGAACGTATAACTTTAATGTGAAACCCAATATGAAGGAAAACTATTACACTTGCGCTTTTCCACTCTGAAATTATGAATTATTTGTTATTCTCCTCCAGGACGGAATCCGCAGTTATTTTGGCACCCCCACCTGGCAGACAGTCGGAGTTTTCCTCGCTGGAGTTATCACCACAGCATTGGTGATTCGCAAAATGTGAAGTAGCAGGAAGGTGGATAGAGCGAGAGAAAAAAGAGAGTTAAGACGGTGAACAGAGGGTGAAACAGACCAGCAAAAGATTAACAGAAAGACGAGAGGGAAGAGAAAGAGTTGGAGACAAAAAGCATTGAGAGGTGAAACCGCCTCAACCCAATGAAAGAGGAGGAAAGAGTGAAAGTTCAGCCAGATGTAGATGGTTCAAGCCACTCTTTTTTTACTCCAGAGTCTGTGCCCTTTCTTGTTCAGCTTCAAATCTTGAATACATTTGCACTGAGAATGAGAGATTAATGCAAAAGCGTTTAGGTTTAGGCTTCATTTTAGGTATTTATTTTTAGTTTGGGGCTAACTGGCTATCTAGAAAAGACTGTATCGGTATGTGATTTAATTTATTAGCATTATTTCAATTTCCGATTTAGGACTCGTATTCTGTTTATCTTTGTCAGACAATTGTGCATGCAGTCAAAATTCTATTTGATAAACATTTATGATGTTTGATCACTAATATATATGTATTTTAACGGGAGGATCACACCATTTAAAAGAGAAGGAATGGCCTCGGCTGCATTCTGATGATATTTCTCCTCACTTCCTCTTCTTTCTTGGTTCACAGTCTCCACTGCAAGGGCTTCCAAATGTCTGTGAGTTGTATTTACAGGTACAAGATGAGCCTCTAAAGTTTATGAGGTGGCGTGGCAGCAGTTGAGCGCAGCAGCCAGCCAATCAGCACTCTGGCTGCAGTATGTGGGAGTGTCTTAGCAAGCTCTTCCTACAGCAGGGATGGACAAAACTAGTGACCTAAAATCATTTTAAATTTCACTGAGCCATGCTGATCTTTTTTTACACAACCAAATAATTTCATTGTTGAATAATGAAGGAACCAGTTGAACTTTCTAAAGAAGCAGATTCATTTCTCATCTGAGATTTGAAGAAACACCATTAGTTTGGCTGGAACTGGTGTAAAAGACGTGTAGTGTGTAAGGGTTAGTAAACCAGGCTTACAAACAGATGAGTTGAGCTCTTTCTCTCAGCATAGTCTTCTCAGTACTGTATTTTCACCATGGTTAGTCAGACCTATAATCTGAACTTTTTTATACACTTGTTTCTTTCTCTCTTGTTTGTTTGAATACAGTTTCATACTCTTTCTGTTTAGGATCTTTTCTTTTCGTTGACAGTGCCTTGGCCTTTTTATGATACTAGCCGCCACTTTTTCATCTTTTTCTACATCTTTGTAAAATGGTATGAATCGTGCACCCTAAGGTGGTCTACGTGCTGTGAGCCCATGAGTTTTTGTAAGATGTACGATTAAATAATAAATTGTTAAATTGTTTTTATGGATTTCAGTATAAATGTTTGGGGTGTGTTTGTTTTTATTATTATTATTTTATTATTGTTATTTTTTGGTGAACAAAAGCTAGATTAAAACTATTAGTAAAAAAGTAATCAAATAAAATAAAATGTAAAAACTCAATATCTCAAAATCAACAAATTAAACACAAAAGCCATATAAAACTAACATAAAAATAGCTGAAATAAAATAATAATGTGAAAAATTATCTTTTTCCTTCAGCTTAGTCTCTGATTTATCAGGGGTTGACACAGCGCAATGAATCGCCAACTACTCTGGCATATGTTATTAATTGTTTTTAGATTTAATAAGGGGCAGCAAGAAGGTCGCTGGTTCGAGCCTCAGCTGGGTCAGTTGGCATTTCTGTGTGGAGTTCTCACCGTGTTGGTGTGGGTTTTTTCCGGGTTCTCCGGTTTCCCCCACAGTCCAAAGACCTGCGCTATAGGTGAATTGAATAAACTACATTGGCTGTAGTGTATTGTATGTGTGTGAAGGTAATCCACGGTGTAAAACATATGCTGGATAAGTTGGCGGTTCATTCCACTGTGGTGACCCCTGATGAATAAAGGGACTAAGCTGAAGGACAATTAATAAATGAGATTTAATACGCACTTGTTCTGTGGTAAAAATCTGACCTGTGGCTTTTTAGATAAATGTTTTATCTTTGCTTTGGTTGACACTGGACATGTCCTGATAACGCTGATAAACTATAATTAATTTAAACTGATACTAAATGCATAAAATCTAATTAGATATGTGTTTTCCAAATCAAAACTAAACATTTCTGGTTATTTAAAAAAATGTTAAGTTGCATTTAATTTTTCATTTTGTGTACTTACATGCAGTGTACTTAATAATCAGTCATTTAAGGTTGGGTTAAGGTTAGGTTAAGGGGTAGGTTTACCCCGTTTAACTACTGTAAGTACATATTTTGGATATTCAAAATATATCAAATAAAGTGCTACCAAAAAACTTAATAGTAGCTTAATCATTTAATAAATGTTTACCAATGAATACCGCTAGCTAATCAGCAAGTATTAGTATGTAACAAATAAATATTTATGTAGTCTTAATTGTTAATTTTTGAACAACCATATAATTTAGTTTTTGAATGCTGGAGGAACAGGTTAATTTAAGGCAGATCTATTTCTCAAATGGGACTTGAAACACAGTTTGCCTCAAGCTGGTGCAAAGAGTATCATGGTGCATTCCAAACAGCATATAATGCACTTTGAAGGCTGCCATATTGAAGTGTTGTTCCCAAACAAAGTGCTTAAAACTGGCCACTTCGAATGGCCATTTGAAATAAGGGGTTTTTACAAATATGATGGACACTTGTTGTTTGGTGTCACACACTGCCTTCAGTTTTGGAAGAGCTCATCCTGCTCTAATCCCTTCGGAGCAGGGGCGGATTTAACCAGTAAGCATCCCAGGAAATTTCAAGTGGTGCTCGCTGCAGAGCCTTTTGAGGAGAGGTGAGCTCCAGCGAGGGGGAGCTGAAGCTTGAGCTCCACCTTTTTTGCACTTCTTCTACGAGTGATGTCACTGGGGGTAGGGTTAGGGGTGGGGTTGGTGTACGCATTAAAACAGCTTACAGGAGGAGGAGCGGCAGCTCATGCTCCCCCTCGCTGGAGCTCAGCTCTCCTCAAATGGCTCTGCAGCGAGCACCCTCTCGGAAATTTGGGGGCCCCCAATTAAAACCTAGAAGTATAAATTATACACATAACATCATTTTATTTCATATTCTGTCTGGCAGGGGTCAAACAAATTTAATTTTAATGGAATTATAACATAGAAAAGTTTGTCTGACACCCCAATCGTGGAGCAGTTCAGCAGTCAAATCAGGTGAAGATTCAGTTTTAAAATCTATTATTTTCAATTTTCCTTTTAAGAAAACAAATAATTTAAAAATGTAGAGATTTCAACATGGAGAATGAGATTCAGAGATCTAGGGAAAAGACAGCAAAATAAATAAATTATGTAAAAAGTACAAATGGTTTCGTTTTAGAACTGTTGGGTCCCAAGGCTGGAACTGCTTAGGCCCCCCAAATCCATCCTTGCTTCAGATGGACCCTTCCCTGTGAATGAGAACTTCATAATGTAGTGTTAGTAAGTGCAGGGTCCAGGCTTAGATGAGTAGATAAGCTCTTCCCCTCTGCAAAGTTTTCTCTGTACTGTATTTTCTCCATGGATGATCAGACCCATAATCTTAACATTATTATATACTTGTTCCTTTCTCTATTGGTTGTTTAGATAAAGTTTTATACTCTTTCTATATTGTTTTTATAAAAAATATGCTTAGTAACACATGAAATTCTAGTGGCCACGTCAAGAATAAAATAAATGCACTAAAAATTATTCAAAGATCATTCCTTGGATTTAAATTTTTTTTAAAGTGAAGTGGTTGTAAATAATTTGTTTGGGCTGAATTTAAACAAGCAAATTAAGTTGAACATTACTAAATGTAATTTGTTATTCAACACATAAATTGTTTGCAACAATTTTGCAGACATCATTTTTTTAGTGTGCTTCGTAATTGGAAATGTGTTATTATAGGCCTATTAATAAATTTGAAACCCCTTAAAATATATATACAGTTAGATACAAATCTTAGATACATTTAACTAACGAACGTTAAAACGGCTTGCCATACAAAAGCTTTTTTTCCAGCGCCCATTAATGGTTTTGATATTCACATTTCCGCCGCCCAATGAAATCTCCCAGAAATCTTTTTAATAACGCGTTCTCGCTCACTCAGTCACAGTTTTCATCATACTGCTGACATGGAAGCGCTGTTGGATTACGTTGTTCGTATTGGTAAGTGTCGCTTTTATGTGCGGGTAATGGTTTTTGCCCATTGTTCCGATTTATTTCCGAAGTTGTGTCTCGCCTTCATAGAGACACATTTGTAAAGTGTTAGGTAAATCTCTCATCTACTCGAATTAACAAATATTTTCATCATTTATAGTTCTTTTGTATTTGTTCATTAATATTTCATTAAATGTCCTCACTTTATAGATCTCACTTTTAACAGATGTTTCACCAATACAGCAATACATGCACGTCTAAGTTACAGAAAACATGAAATGAATGCAATCAAACCTGTTTATCACAGGTTACAAAGTTACAAAACCTGCGCATGAATGTGTGTTTTTATTAAGTGTAAACTTGATATAGTAAAAATCTTTAGGTACTGGCACAAACTATGCGATATACACCAATGTGTACACAAAATCCAGAGGATTTATTTGTGATAACAACCAATTAACATTAGGTTAATTGAAATGATGATACATCAAAGTGTACCATATTAAATATGATCAGTAAGATAAATACTGTCTAATGTGACTAGATAGTGTTTATTGTCTGTCTGAATTAATAGAAGAAAAGTCCTGTTTGTAGGAAGTGTGTGTCTAAGTCTGTTTATGACCTGCTTTGAAGGCAAACTCAAATTCTTTTACTTTGTAAACCATCTTATCTTGATATTGTCATGCTGACCACAGAGACATGTTCTGATTGTTTTATTATTATTATTGTGTGTGTGTGTGTGTGTGTGTGTGTGTGTGTGTGTGTGTGTGTGTGTGTGTATATATATATATATATATATATATATATATATATATATATATATATATATATATACGTAAGTGGGCAAAACAATGTTCTGAGTTGTGGTTTGTGCTCTTTTCTACAATGACGTCACTTCACTTCTGCCTTTCTGAAATGCGGTGTAATGGTAGTTCTGCTTTACCTTTGAATGAATGGGATACGTCTCTGCGATTTCATTTTTCCTCATTTTTATTTAGGTCAGATGGTTCTAGAACTAGGTTTTTCATTCGATTGACTTTTACATTTGTTTTTGTTTATTCATCTTTAAATAAAGTAAAGAATTGCTAATGCTTTTTGTTTAATATATTTGGTCTTACAGTCTTTCCCCTTGCATTGTGTCATTTTAATTATTATTTTATATGTAAAGGCAGTGGCAATGATCAGACACTTGATGCAGGATCTGCAGTTCTCTTTAAGTGAGTATCATTTTCCTTCTGCTGCTCATTTCCATCTTCTCTTTATTTGTTTGTTACCTCACCATCTCTTCTTCTCTCTGGCAGCTTCATCTTTGAATGGCTTCATCAACACTTAGACAAAGAAGCTGAAATAACCTGTTGGTTACAAAATAATTTGGGTATTGTTGAGAAAAGTGACCCCAGCCATAAAGATGCAATCGAGTGTATGGTGAGGATTGCAAATGAAATGGAAGGAAATGAAGAACTACAAGGGTAAGCGTTAAGGGTCTGGCCTGTGAATGACATATTAATGTGCTTATATTCATTGTTGCTGTTGTTTTGTTTTAGGATGTTAAATAGCGCTCTCTTAAATCCAACTCTAGAACACTACATCCTTGTGGTCAATGGGACCTTCTCTGATGTGACATTAAGCTGGGGTAGTGTTGTGGCACTTTTTTATGTTGCATGTCGGTTTGTTGTTAAGGTGAAAACATATCCATGTATCATCTCATATTAAGGGTGCTTTCACACTTGGTTCAATTGCCTGGACTGTACCCAAGTTCGATTGTCCCCCCTTGCCACCTTTTTAATTGGTTTGTGTTCACACTGTCTCTTTCCTTCTGAACCCTGGTACACTTGCTTCATCGAGCTGCTGTTTTGTTTACGGCTGTTGCAAGGTGACGTCACGAAAGCAAAGCATGACATCGCAGTCATTCTGCTTTTACTGAATCTTTTGGTTTTACACATACAGAAAGCGACACACGTCCACGTTTAGAACATCACACAGTGTCTGCAGAAGCTGTTTTTGGAGGAGACAAGCAGAAATTATCACTGTGTTTGCCCTGGCTCAGTCCCGCTTGTCACTAAGATATGATATGTGACACACAGACACACACGCACAGGAATAAACGTTATGAAAATGATAGTTTATTGTACAGTTGGTGGTTCACTTCCGTTATTTAATACGATTGCATTCATACTAGAAGTAAACCGGACCAGAGTTCGCTTGAACCGTACCCCAGACCACCACCTCTTTCAGGCGGACTTGGGTACGGATCACGAGTGTTCACCCGAGTTCAGAAGACATGTTCACACTAGCTAAACATACCGTACTATGACGTCAAACGAACCCGGGTACGGACCAAAATTGCCAGTGTGAAAGCACCCTAAATAACTTGTTTTGACATTGTAAGCCATTGACATTTTTATGTCTCCTAGGCTGCTGAAATCAACTCTGTTGACTTGGTCAGAAGCATTATAAACTGGACTATGCCTTTTATTAGAAAGACCTGCATTTTAACCTGGATCAGGGAACAGGGTGGATGGGTAAGTCATAACCGTGGCTTCTTTAAAATCATGTGAAATGTGTGTTTGAGTGACATTTCCATACATTGAACATACAATTGATAAACAAAACACACAACAACATGAACATTTTAAATCAGCAAAACAAAGACAAAAAGTTCACATCTTGGTGCCTCTGCCCCATATTCATACACACTACACAAGCAGTTACTTTCATCACAGAAAATAAACACTATTTCAATTTGGGAATTCCAATAACAAAGATGCTCTTGCAAGTGAGGTTTACCTGTGCAGCTCTCACCTCTATTAAAGTCAAGCAAAGAACGATAGTATTGCACATTAACAAACAAGCAAAGATGATACACAAGTACATTTAAGCAAAAGGCATCATATCATTTATTTTTTCTTTGGCTTAGTGCCTTCATTCATCAGGAGTCACATCATATGTTAGTTCTGTGAAATGTCACAAAGCAAGGAACTGAAAAAAAGTAGTTTTCAGTTCCTCTTTCCAGCACTGGAAAGCTCTTCTAAAGTTGCAATGGGTTCAATCTCCTGGCTGAGGATTAAGACTTTGGTTTACTTCAAATTAAATTAAACTGAAATTACATAATTTCTAACAAAATCCGTCCAAAACCAAGTTCGATTTAAGTTCATTTCAGCAGTTTGAAACAATTCACCAAACTTTTTGAGGTATTTTGTTGTGGCTCCAAAACACCTTTGAGCTGCCATTGGTCCATAGATATATACACTATATTGCATACGAACCTTGAGCGTGCATCAATACCGCCGCCACATTTGTACAGTGCTCCCAGGACAAATGTCAGTCAAGACAGTGAGCCAATGTGAAGATGCTGGACTTTAGCTCTGCTTACGGGTGTTGTAACAAGCAAACAAAGAAAACAAAGTACAAAAGCAGAACATCTTATAGGTAAGATTTCGTGTTTTACGTTTTTGTGTGTTATGAACTTTTGTGCTAAACAAGTAACATTATTGATGATAATAAAGTAATTTACTGCATTCACCATAGGGCAAAGTAGCACTAACTCACACTAAATAGTATACTTACACTAGTTTTGTTGAATAAAATCAGCAAACATTGTAAATGAAGTATGACTACAAGATGCTGCGGTGCTAGAAACCTGTATTATTGTCAATCTAGTGAACGAGTCGTTCATAAGAGGGATTCATTCACGAACGAATCGCTTCCTCCGTTTGAATGAGAAGTGAAAGTAGGAAAGTAGGAGACAGAGGGAGGGGGAGAGAGTTTCAGGACATGGATTAGATCAATTTTAACAGGGAAGGAGGATAATACATTTCCATGGACACAAACACATGCTCTTTGTCAGGAATGCCCGTGCTGGTAACTTATCCATCAATGTAGAAAATTGATGTAAAATTATAATTTTCATAATAATAAAAAATTGCTTATTGACCACCTGGAAAACTCCCGATCATAGATATATGTGTATATCTCTGGCTCTGGATGGCCATAATCCTCCACTGAATCTTGGTCTTACATTCATTTCAAAGGAGCGCTACCCTGTACTAAAATGGTGGCTGCATTGACGCAGCCCTTCCAATAGACAACAACAGGGTAGGCGACATCTGTAAATATCTATGCCATTGGACCATGACAGTTACACAATTGGTGTTTGGAACTCCACCTTCTTTGACATGCTTCTTATCTCATATACACAAAGATAAGAGAAACAACAACAAGCTGTCAACACGCATACTCGGAAGGCTAGTATAGATTTTTCCACACGCTTTTTTTCAGATGTTGAAGTTTTGGAAGGGGTGACACTTTTGACAAAAAAAAAAAAAAACACTGCATAGTGCAAAGTCTTTTAAAGTTCTAAGCATTGGTGTCTGTGCTGTGCAAATAGAAAACAGTGTAAAGATTTTTTTATTTGCTTGTTTATTTAAGAGGAACAATACACTTGAAATTGTATACAATGACAACCGATGTTATGAACATATAGGGCATAAAGCTAATTTGCAGCCCTCGTCCCAGGTTAGGCTTTACATTAAAATATAAAAAATAAACAAACAAGAAAGAACACAATACAGCAAACATGTACAGTATATATAGAGCCACAAATATAAAATGTAATTCAATCTGCATACTAAAGAGAAATGTAAACCTGACCAACCTGAAAGAATAATATTGAATATTCACATTATTGTAAAGATTTCAACCAATCTTTCAGCTTTGCAGAAAAAAAAAACTGGCAGTTCTTTCACTGACAAGTATGACTGACCCATATAGTTCTGCATCTGTGGATTCTACAATTCGTCACCATAGAATTATAAGGTTCTATCTGACATTATTGTTAAAATTTAGTTATTGACATATTCTTATTAAATGACAACTTGGTTACATTATGGCATGTTTTTTTTACAAGTTATTTACATTTTAAGATGTTTTATTAAAATAATAAATAAAATGTGACACACATACTGTTTGCCATATGGAATGCAAAAACTTTGAAGCTCAATATCTTAAAATCACTAGCAAGGCAGATAGAACCTTGTAATTCCAAGGTGACGAATTCCCACTTACTGCCCCTCTAGTCTTTGCAACATCACTGCTGACTTTATTTACCAGCTCTCAAAAAAAAAAAAAAAAACACTGCATAGTGCAAAGTCTTTTAAAGTTACTTGTCTGTCCTGTGCAAGTAAAAAACAATGTAAAGATGTGGTACATCACAGTGGCGCTTCTCATCTGTTGTGTCTCATCAGGCAGGAGAAGGTGGTTTGCCAGATGTTTATGAAACTGTTCTTTTCTCACAGTCTCCAACACTGTTGTGTTTAAGGGTGTATGCATGTAGTCTGACATTTACATCCCAGCCTACTGCAACATTTAAGAAAGGTTCAAAAACAGTGTCATCACTTGGCCTTTTCAAACTTCCTATTTCCCTCAAATGGAGAATGTAAAAGAACTTCATGTGAAGAATGGCCTTAACCATCCTTTTGAAGTTATGTTTCTCATTTGTATTTTTTCTGCCCTGTGTTTTTGCTTTAGACGTTCTATAGAGCAGTGGTCACCAACCTTTTTAACATTTGCGATCTCCAGCAGTTGATATTCTTCTTGCACTGACATGATGGATTAACCTGATTTGTTGACAAATTGGTTGCAGATCCATTCTTTAGCAGTTTGTGGGTCCTTGACTGGGCCTTTTTCTCTTTGCAAAGAAACTTTCCAAAGATGTCTGTTTCTTGCTCATTTTGCTGGCTTGTGGGTTGAGTTTTGGTGCTCAAATGAGCGGTCATTTTCGAAATAAAAGATTTTTCAAAATAAAAAAATGTTTAGATAGTAAATAAAACAGAAATAATTAATGATTTCTTGTGGCCCGGTACCAATTGATCCACGGACTGGTACCAGTTCGCAACTTGGTGGTTGGGGACCACTGCTATAAAACAATCTTTCTGCTAAATGTGTACAAATTTGTTTTGTTGTTTTTTTTTTTTTTTTAAGAAATATTATTGCACCTTTCACTTTTAAATATGTGATCTTTCTTATATTGGAATAGTGTCTGACTCTTGCCATTTCCATCCTCCTATTTTTCTACACCAGGGCGCAATCCGCTCATATTTCGGGACCCCCACCTGGCAGACAGTTGGAGTTTTCCTTGCTGGAGTTCTTACTGTAGGCTTGGTGCTCTACAAAATGTGAACCCGAGGATGACAAAGTGGAATAACAGAGAGTCGAGACATTGAGGCTGAAACAGACCAGCAAAATATAATGGAAGGATAAGGGTGAAGAGAAAGTTGAAAAAAGAAAGATGACACATTGTCTCAAGCCACTTTTGTTACCCCTATTCTTCTGCTGTGATTATTTTGCTTTTTAAATCTTGAACAATTATGTCTTTTAATTAAATATTTAATTTTAAAATTTGCACATTTACACCAAGGAATGCATGGGTGATTCAGAGTTAGGCTTAATTTTGGCCATTTATTTTTTTATTTGGAACAGGTTTCATGGTATTTTTATTACTAATGCCAAAGCGTCATCTATCATTAATCTTTTTACATAATTTTAATTCTTTGAAAACCTTTTAAACTTTTCTAGGCTTTTCACGAAAATAAAACAAGCTAATCTGCAGACCATGCAGACAAAAAGTTGATTATTCAAACTGCTCTTAAATAATTTGCAAACAAATGAATCACAAAGGCTGTATCTCCATAAAACATGTGTGTAATGACGACCATAACATCCAGTGGTCAGTCTTTAAAAAGAACAACCAGCCAATCAGGCTACAGTATGTGGGAGTGTCTTGGCAAGAACGTCCTATAACAGGAAAGGACAGAACTAGTGACCTAAAATAATTTTTAACTTCACTAAGCCACGCTGATACTTTTTACACAAATAAATCATTTCCTTTTTGATTACTGAAAGAGCCAGTGAAACTTTCCAAAGCAGATTCATTTCTCATCTGGGATTTAATAAAACACAGGTAGTTTGGCTGGAACTAGTGCAAAGAATGAGTAAGAGTTAGTCAAGAGGTCCAGACCTGACAAACAGATGATATGAGCTCTTCCCCTTAGCAAAGGGGTACTGTAGTACTGTATTTTCACCATTGTAAGTCAGACCTATAATCTGAACTTTTTTATTCTATGTATTTTTTGGTCTATGTAATATGAGCCCATGAGTTTGTTTTGCTTTGTTTTTGTACGAATAAATAAATACTTTTTTCACATATTAAAAATGTGTGACTTGTTTTATTTATTATTTTGCTTTTTTTTAAATAATAAAACCATAAAATATTTATTATGCCACAGCCATATCACCCTGCCAAGACCAGTTACTCACTGAGCCTGGTCAGTACCTGGATGGGAGACCACATGGGAAAACTAGGTTGCTGTTGGAAGTTGTATTAGTGAGGCCAGCAGGGGGCGCTCAACCTGTGGTCTGCATGAGTCGTAATATCCAAGTAAAAAGTGAAGGGGACACTACACTGTCAGTGGGTGCTTTCTTTTAGATGACATTTTAAACCGAGGTCCTAACTCTCTGTGGTCGATAAAAATACCATGGAACTTCTTGTAAAGAGTAGGGGTGTAACCCTGGTGTTAACCCAAAGTCCCTCTATCGGCCCTTACGATCATGGCCTCCCAATCATCCCCATTCACTGATTGGCTCTAACATCATTTCTCTACTACACCAATAGCTGGTGTGTGGTGAGCCCACTGGCCCCATTATGATTGTGAAGCACTTTGGGTGCATGGCCATACACAATAAATGTGCTATATGAATACACATTACATTACATCACAATTAAATAATCAATAAAATGGGAATTTGTAGTGACAAAACTAGAAATCAGCTATTTCATTTGAAAATAATAAAATTAGACTAAAACCGAAATAAAACTACAGCCAAATAGAAATCTTCATTGGTTTTCTTGTTGGCTTAGTCCATTCATTAATCTGGTGTTGCCACAGCAGAAAGAACCGCCAATTTATCCAGCATATGTTTTATACAGCGGATGCCCTTCCAGCTGCAACCCATCACTGGGAAACACCCAAACACTTCCATTTACACACATACACTGCGGACAGTTTAGCTTACCCAATTCACCTGTAGAAGTCCATATATTAGCCTAATGACAAAACTAACCGCATGGTCGAAGGTTAAATGCATGTAAGCCTTTTCTAGTGCTTCTGAAAAGAATTTTGTTATTTATCAGAATTTATTTATATTTGTTTTTTAGCTCTGAATTTAATCTGACTCCAGTTTTAAGTGACCATCAATTTTAGACTGTATTTTTAATTGTAAGAACGAATCACAGTCATCATTTACGACTCAATTTAGAGTTTTGATCTATACCCAGCTAGCAAAACTTGTGTGGCTCAAATCCGGCCCACACCAGACACTTACATCCGGCCCACACACCGCATGGAATGATGGCACTTGGGCTGTCCGCTCCTGTTTGTCAGATCTGGACCACAAATGAGCAAAGGCAGTACCACATATTAGCCAGAATTCAATCAAATGAACCAGAACTGAACTTATTTTGGGCCACAATTTGCTTTTATTCTGGCTTATCTGGCCTACACCTTACACTTGCTGAGTGTGGCAAAGTATAAAAATCCCAGCTTGCATTTCAGTATGAATGCATTCTATAGTCTACTGATGCTCCGGTTTTCATTATTTCCTTTTGATTCAGCTGTTTATGTTGACGTTGTTGATTTTGTCACTTTTAGTCTCCTCTAAATGATGTTTGTGAGTTTTGTTCATTGTGTTAATTGTCACCGTTGTTGAGGTTCATACACTGATAATTGATGTCTCTGTGAGCAGAAGTTGAACCATAGAATTTTTTTAGCTCATAAACCTTCATATTTCTGTGGCATGTGCAAGCATGTTATTACCTTATTTCTAATAATGGTTTAAACATTGTATTATATTATTTCATTAAATTATATTATTTCATCACAGGTTGTGTCTCACTTATTTATTTATTTATTTATTTTTGTTTATTTATTTATTTTTACTTGGCTTGTTTGCTGTAATGAATAAAAATTTCAAGCAAAGTTCTTAAAAGTTACAGCAGCCCAAAAGAAATTTATATTAAGAGGTTCAGGGTTATGAGCTCAACTAAAGCAAAAACTTTTCTCCATGATGGTTACTTTAGTCAATGCGGTCCGCATAGGTATTAAGATAACTAGGCCACATTTGCCTTATCTTCCCTGGGCCACTTTAGGCTCACAGCCACTTAAGCCAGAGCTAACTGTGCCAAGTAGTTGCCAAAAGAGACCCACATTTGTTTTAGGATAACTGGGCCACATTTTTTATATCTTCTCTGGGCCACTATAGGCTAATAGCTGCATTAGTCAGAGTTAACTGTGCTGAATATTTGCCAAAATTGGCCCACATATGTTTTAAAATAACTGTATGTAATAAATAAATATCTATGTAATATATAAGTTAAAGTATATTAAGTGAAGTTTCACAAACTGATTTCGAGAGGGGCACATGATATGATTTACTGCAGCTGGTCTCTCATCTACAGTCATTAGCCCAGCTAAAATAACTCCCTTATCTTTGTTTTCTGAAGAAGTCCCCCATCCACCCCATCTCCCCCTTTCTTCCTTTACCAGGGGGAGCTCTCGAGAACTACCTAATCTCGTACTCCCCTTACATGCTCATCAACCAGTCGGGAGCCTGGTCGATTATCTCCGAGCTTAGGGTTCTCTACCGGGACAGCATGCCAAACCTGCTATCATTATCAAACAATATCTAAGTGTGAGCTCTTGACATAGCTACTACTTTTTGTGCAACCAAATATATTTTTGTATGTTGGAGAAACAGATTGATTTAAGGCAGATTTATTTCTCAAATGGGACTTGAAACACACTTCAAGTTAAGCCATTTTAAGAAAAGAAAAAAAGTCAAATATTTTTTTTACAGATTTATCATAATGCGTGCGAGGGTTAAGGGAGAAAAAAAATTAAACATATTTTTTCTTGTTAATTTGCAAGATAATAATATTCAGCTTAAATTGCATTTTAAATCTTTAGGTTAGGTTGAATAGGAAAAGTAAACCCACTTATAAGAAATACTGTGACAATTTCCTTGCAAACGTCACTTAAGATATATTTGAAAAAGAATTTAAATTTCGAAGGTCGCTGAATAATTTTGCCTTTAAATAAATGTCATTCATATAAAACTTATCTTTGAATAAGCTCTAATGTGGCATTACTTGACTCCTGATATACAAGGTTAAAAAAAACTGCAGTGAAATCTAGCTGCTCATCAACACGTTACACAAATTAATTAATTAATTAATTAACACAAAATATTAATTCATTTTCTTGTTGACTCAGTCCCTTTATTAATCCAGGGTCACCACAGCAGAATGAACTGCCAACTTATCCAGCAAGTTTTTACACAGCGAATGCCCTTCCAGCCACAACCTGGGAAACCTCTGGGAAACATCCACACAAACATTCACACACACACACTCATACACTAAGGACAATTTAGCATACCCAATTCACCTGTACCGCATGTCTTTGGATTGTGGGGGAAACCAGAGCAACCGGAGGAAACCCACGCGAACACAGGGAGAACATACAAACACCACACAGAAACACCAACTGAGCCGTGGCTCGGTGATCCCTGCTCTATATGGTTAGAAACGTGTTTGTCAAAAAAAAAACAACAACACATGGCACATACATCAATTCTCAATAAAAAAATCGAATAATTGTAAAAAAAAAATTAATTAATTAAGTCGGCACTTCCGCACTTCCAAATGGAACCCATTGTTAAGGGTTATCAAGCCAAACACAGATAGGTGAGGTGAGCTCTTCCCCTCAGCAAAGTCTTCTCAGTACTGTATTTTCATCATGTTTGTTTAGACCCATCTTAACTTTATTAAATACCTGTTTCTTTCTCTATTGGTTGGATAAATTTTCATATTCTTTCTATATTGTTTTTTTTTCGATGGCAGTGCTTTAGCCTTTTTTTGATAGGCTATGAGCCTAAGGTTATCATATAAAATTATATGTATGAGTAACAAATGGAATACATACAGTAGCCTAGTAAAACTGAATAGTTCTTAATATACAGTTACAAAGATCCTAGATATATAAATATTAAACGTTAAAATGGCTTGCCATACACCGTGAATGCCTGCCAAATCTTTTTTTTTTTTCCAGCGCCCATTTATGGATTGGGAAACACCATAAATATATTCATAAATATTCACCATAAAACACATAATGTATGTCCTAAAGATGTCAGAAACATATAGGTGACTTGTATGTCAGCAACATATATGTCCCATATATGTCAGAAAGATATACAGTATGTCCACGTATATATGCCAGAAACACACGTCCCATTCATGTCAGAATCAGAAATGTCAGAAACATATATGTCCATATGTGTAAAGCACATATGTCTCATAGAATTCAAAACATATATGTGCAATATATGCCATAAACATATGGCGGTTGATGCACAATCGGTAAGTAAAGAGGTGTGCCAAAAACATATATGTCCAAATATGTAAAACACAAATATGTCAGAAACCTATGATCCATATATATCCTAAACATATATGTCCCATGCCAAAAACATTTTTGTTTCAGAAACATATATGTTTCTGAAACAGAAACATATATGTTTTCCGGTTGCAAAAAAAAGACACAGACTGCTATAGTAAAGATGTCGTGTGCGGTAGGATGGCAAATTAGAAAGTCCAAAAATAGAAAACGTAACTTTTACCATACACCACACTGCTTTAATTCTAACTGCAGTCGCCATTGTCTTAAATGAAGCTGAATGAAGTGACGACCTAATTAGAAATGCTGGACTCTGCAGTTGTCATGTTATATCAGGTAAGGTCACGCTATGCTGAATCATACACATTACTCGTTTTTGATTATATAAATAATTTTAGCAAAACAGTTTAACATTTTGAATTAAATGGTCAACACTGAATGCTAAGAATGAACTGTGAAAGTGTTAGTTATTTAGGTAAACTTGGTTTTATATTCACATTCATTCAGTGACAACATGTGAAACACTCCCTATATTGTTTACTACGCCACTTTGAATATTCGGTCTGAAATAACCTGCAAATGTGACTTGAAAACAACATTAACACTGTTTATTTGACTGTGAACAATGTTGTACTTTGATAATCATTGGCTGCTAATATGATTTCGCTATTTTAGAGTTTGCAAATTATACATTTATAAAATTATATTATTAAGCAGAAAGTCCGACTGTGCGAATATAAAACCAAACTTAACGTGTAGGTTCACATACCCTGCCGTACAGGTGCAGTTCAGTGTCAAAATGCAGTTGTTTTGCGTGTTGGTGCTTAATTACCCAGGCCTTGTATAACGTTAACTCCGACTTCTTTCATTGTCTTTGGCTAAGCAGAATCTCGGTGGTTTTTAGCTCTACATAGTGTTGAATCTGGTCATCATGGAACATTATTTCTTGCACATGACCACACAGAACAACGTTGTAGACATCCAAAGACTTGTAGACCTTTAACTTCTCTCTTGTAAAATCACTTGGAGCTTCAGTGAGATTGTATATTTCGGGCTGGATGCTTGGTCATTTCGTCACATTCAATATTCATTGGGAGGGTGCTATCGCAAATGGACCTGTCAGACGAACGCCGCTCACTTTAACAAATATTTGGCGAATCACTGTGCTTATTAGTGGGTGACGAGCTGTTATAATACGCACACTAATAGTGTTATGTAAATAATATATATATAATGTGTAATCAATATATCTTATTTCTAAGACAACAACAAACTCTGTACCGCATCAGATGTCATTCCCTCACTGTAAATGCTAGCGCTTCCGGTTTCTTTCTGCCACCTCCCTGCACGCGCATCCTAAATGTTTACAAACATGGTCTATATGTCCACATATATGTAAAACACATATAGGCCTATGTCCCGTATATGTCAGAAACATATATGTCCACATATATACCTGGAACATATGTAGGCCTAGCCTAGGTCTCATACCAACACGTTCTCACTCCCAACTCGTCATATACTGACGCTTGGTCAGGAACCCTCGGCGTAAGTTATTGACGCACAGGGTACCCCTTTAGCGTCACATTTAGACGTGCAGGGATTCCCTATAGAATCTGTACCTGAGCCTGAAGCGTCATAGGGAGACGCTGGAGGCTCGTATAATTACCAATAGATGTTAACGCACTTTTTAAAACCTGATTTACGCCTATTATCGCAGTTTTCTTCTTTTAAAAATATGTAATTTTTATTTTGTTCATGAAAAGCGTCTGTAAACTGGGTCGAAACTACTGTATGAATAAACTTCGGTCCACGTGACATCCCTTCACGGTGAGTTTAACGCCGCTCTGCTATTGGTCAAACTGCATCAACGGTGAGTTCTCAGATGAGTTCAACTGTCAACATTAAATATTACGTTAATGCTGCATAATCTATTTTTATTGGAGATTAGTTGGTGTTTATAAATATGTTATCATTTACTTTATATTTAATGAGTGAAAATATATTCGGTTGTCCAGTTTAGGTTAACTATAAAACTATACTACTAATAAAACTTTGATTCATTCATATTATTTATTATTTTTTTACTTTAAAAAATATTACATTTCAAGTACTAAGTTTAAAAATGTTTTCGGCTGATCTTTTTTCATTTTAAATTATTCATTGAAGTTGGGGTCATTGTATGTGGCGATCTATTTTTTACAGTCTATGCTCGCTATCCCAAGGTTCATTGCGATCCCAAGGTTCACTGCGGTTTTCCACAAGGTAAGTAAAAAGTAAATAAAGACGATTTGTTGATAAAGCATGTACTGTAAACTAGCGACGTTATCTAATTACATCAAGTTCATTTATTAAAAACATATTTTTCTCAAATATAACGTTGGTCATGCATAGCTCAGAACAATATATACATTTTAAGATGAGGAACAGTGTTACCAGATTGTTGTTTTCCACAATAGAATTCGTGCAAAATCTTTATATGATATGCAGTATGCAACTCTAATAATACAAATGTATTCGTAATTGTTTCAATATTAAAGAACATCAAGTGTTTCCAAAGGTTAATTGTAAAAACAATTATTTTCCATGCCTTTAAAGGAAAAAAGGCAGAAATTTTGCCCGTCTGAGCACATTTTTAATTTAATTTAATTTTTATTTTTAATCTACCACACACACACACACATGTATGTATGTATATATATATATATATATATATATATATATATATATATATATATATATATATATATATATATATATATATATATATATATATATATATATATACAGGTGTAAATTATAAGGTGTTCACTGTTCAGATATGAATATTTTTTCTTTGCTCTTTTCAGGTTCTTTAGATTTCTTTAAAAATCCAATTTTGTTTTCTAATAAGCAAAAAGTAAAGCCACTTTACCCATGTCTATATGTTAAATTGAACTTGTCTCTCTCTCTATCTCTGTTAACACATTTGTATTTGTTTGATTAATTCTTGTGTCTTTCAGCCTGTTTCTGCCTATCACCATGAGTGATTCCTTTATACTCATATTTATCATCAAGATCTCAATTATAAGCTCAAGTCTTGATGACAACTTGATGATCTGCAGGAAGCACCACCATGTAAGGAAGGCCAAGACCACTCTGGAATCAGTCAAGGGTTAGTGAAGTTTTTCATTCCATGTATATTAAATATCTACATTGTTTAGGCATATATGATTGTACGAGATAAAATGCATTTATTTATGTATGTGTTGAAACTAAATTAACAAGAAAACAGCTCTTTGATGTTCACCTAGTAAAATTAGATTAGAAGATAATATTTTGAAGGTTTATTTACAGCTAAGGATTAAGGATTGACAGGAAGATTTGTGGACTACATCAACTAATGACACTACCTCCAAAGAGTTGCAAAAAGCTGTCCAAAGTTTCAGCACCATCTTTAAGCCCATGATTTTAGTGTGTTTCATGCCTAAGCACATGAGTTTAAATCTGAGATAGATGAACTATATGATTATCTTAAACTGATCTACAGGTAAATGCCAAAACTTATTGGTTTACTTATTTGCTTGTTTGTTTGTTTGTTTGTTTGTTTGTTTGTTTGTTTTTTTGTATATGTTAACCAGGTGAAATGGAGTGAGGCATACCAGGATATGCCTGGTTTTACTCTTGGGATGGAGGTTGAACAGTGCAATATTTCTTCTATAGGATTGCAGTGACCAGACATGCTACTGTAACTCTCATGGTCATGTGCTGGAATTAGCAGATATTCAACAGTTTGGCCATCTTGCTGACCTATTGATATCAGAAGGTAACGATATCCACTAGTGTTTGTTTTAGTTGTTCTGTAACCTATTTAAATAGTATTGTGATTTTTGATTGCTTATCACTGTAGACCGAAACAGCTCTGCAAAGCAAGTTGGAAAACAGAATCCACGAAACTGGCAGTGACCGGAAACCAGTTGGAAGACTTTGGTCTGTGACGTAGAGGAGTGGGCAGAGGGTGAGGAAATTCTTATTAATATTAAATGTAGTCATGAAAAATTGTAAGTGTTACTATTATTGTCATTTTTTTCAGTAGCAGAAGCGAAGACAACAAAAAACAGAAGTGATATGGATGTCTTCGTCATATGGCATGGTATGTACACTAGACTTCTGTCAGTGTTGATTCTTTAAAAGTTGACGTATAATCCTTGTTATAGAACTTTCTTTTTATAAATATATTTCAGACTCTGCTGACCCAGCAACAAAGAGGAGGGTGTTCAACATCATCCTGCTAGTCAGGATTCTTCAGGAGCAGTGGATTCTTGTGGCAGAGATGGCCAACCACTATAAATACCTTTCAACTAATCCTGGTTCCTTCAAAGAACTTTCCTGCTTGTTTGCTACTGAAAAGTATGTATTTGTATTATTTGGCACAGACATAAGCATAAGGTTACCCAGTCCAAAGGACATTAATATATTTTTATGTTGTTGTGTTCTTTTAAGATTCGACATGTGGCCTAAACGAAGAGGGGTTAAAAGGTCTATGGATCATCATTCTCAGAAAGCAACAAAATATCTGAGAAATAAACAACAATACGATGGTGCAATCTGGAGACCTGCAAGGTACCTGCAAGTTTTGGCTGGAGCAGAGAACATAGATTTTTTAAATAAAGCTCCAGCTGATGAGTTTGACATTGACTGTGGATTTTCTTTTACTGTAATCCAGAAGAGGATGACCTTAACCCTGAATCTAAAGCATGTAATAAAATCTGTAAAAATAAAATAAAATTTTCATCATCTATAACCAAATTGTTGTCTCTTTTTTTAAAATACATAGATATGTACAGTATGTAAGCATTCCTCTAAAATCAATCAGTGTTGTAAATTAAGAGCATTATTGTATGCCCAACTGCTTACAATATATAACGATTTAAGGAACTCTATATTAAAATAAAATTATTACATTAAATGACATTAAGAGCTTTTAAAATATTAATTTTATCATACATTTTTATGATAAATTTAATTTTTGCATATACTTGGCCAAAAAATGTACATTATTATGGTCAACTGCTCAGATACCTCCAGTCAATATGTGGCTGAGTCAGGCAACCAGACTTCTACCTCTGAACAAATTAACCTATGATTTACATCAAAGATCTGATGGATCTATTTGGTCCTCATGGATTTTTCTAAAAAAAAAAAAAAAAAAAAATTAATCTCCTTTTATTTTTGTCTTTACTTTGAAACATTTGTATTCATTTGTTAGAATGTCTAACAAAAAACTGCTGTACTTGTGAGATAACAGTGCCACTGTTGTTATGCTGAAAATAAAAAATAACTTTGTATAATGTTTTATTGAATGCAAGATAAAAAATTAAAAAATAAAATATTTTCCAAGAGATGGGTTGCGGCTAGAAGAGCATCTGCTGCATAAAAACATGCTGGAAAAGTTGGCGGTTCATAGAGCTGTGGCGACCCCTGGTTAATAAAGGGACTAAGCCAAAAAGTAAAATAAAATATGTATTTTTGTAGACATAGAACTTCACAGTAACTTATAAGTACAGCACAGAACTTTTTTACTTCTAGTTTAGATAATTTAAAGGTTTGCATATTTATTTTGTTGGTTCATGGCTATGTATTTTTAATCATTTTGAACTATTCGCAGCATTTGAAAGGATATCTTATCGTCATTGTTACCTCATTTCTCAATATTTTCATGATTCTTACAATGCAGCAAATCTTAAAATCATTTGATCATAAAGAAAATAATTAACAAATTAACCCACATGCAGGACAAAGACATGATGTGGAATCATTATTAAACACAAGTTCATGCATTGTCATCAAAACATACTGTTACACAAACAGTTGAAGATTTAGAAATAAAAATAATCAGATAAAGAGTGGTTTTCAAACAAATACATGTCTTTAAAAAGGTTATATTTATAAACATTTACATATTTTAAGAGCTTTTATCCATATTTCAAATAAAGAGAAAACAATTAAATATCACATGATGACCATTAATAAAACACAATTACAGAATTACATCCACACATATTAAACTGAACTTATAATATTTGTGATGAACATAATCACTATTGCTAATAACTTGTAATTAAAGAGGATACTAATGTTTAGCTTATTTTTACAGCTTTTTTTTTTTTTTACCACAACTGTACATGTGACAATACAATTTCTTGTCCATGTTGAAGATAATACATCTACATAGGTTAACTGCCCTTTTACTCAAAGGGGATGAGTAGAGCCCCGTAGAAAAGGAAAAAGTATTCACATTTCAAACGCGAAATGAGTGAGAGAATATCAGCAAGACTATTACCTATGCTATGTTCAATAAATAATGTTGGATATAATAGTCTGATATATACTGATCAAGTCAATAAAAGCTGTTTTAAAAAAATACTCATTGTAAAATAACAAATTTATGTCTGACATTCATATATGTCATAAATATATGCACAATGACCTTATTCAGATAGTCTTTAGTTCATTAAAAATAGTATTTGTTCCATTTTATTACAAAAAGGCTTTAAACTACATTACCCACAATCCTTTGTCGCTGTATAGATGGGACGGGAAAGACATGGCGCTACAAATTGTAGTTCATTGAAAGCTGTAGTTAGGGTTAAGTTTAGGGTTACGATCTTGGTTAATCGGTAACTATTTGAAACACAGCGATAACTCATTGATAAAGGACACTGTTAGTAAAGTGGCAAAGTTAGCAAAACATAGTTTGCAACACGAAGGATCTTTTAATTTGGCTTAGAAGTTATAGTCCAATCACAATGTCGCAATCTACGTCACACTTTGTCTCTATTTGGTAATCTTCCGGCTGAAGGTAGATTATAATAACCTTATAATATAACTTAAATATCAAAATGTGTATTAATATTACATGTTATTTATTGTCTTATTAAAAATACAAATGTATATTTACCGTGAGATTCCTTTGTGGGGGTAACCTAATGTGCAAAATGATCATAGTAAAACCAGATCATAGGCAGTATACTAAATTTGAAACGAATAATAAAATAATAAAAAAAAGCATCATGTTTGAAAACATTTCCAGCATTTCCTGTAACTAAACACTGCGTCCTGTAGGTATACAAATATAAATATATGTCAAACTTAAATGACAAATATAGTGCCCATTAAATAGTAAAAATAGTAGTTCATTGTAAATGAGAATGCAAATAAACACAATACATTTTTAATGAAACATTTATAATTTATTTATAATGCCACAAAAAAAAAAAAAATCACGCAAACATGCAAAAACCAAAAATATATATATTTATAACAGTTTTTAATGCAATAATATATTACCATACATATATAAATGATTAAAAACAATTATAATTGAAGGAAATTTATATTTTGTATTATCATTATTATATTTATTTTGTGATATTTATTCATGTCATACATCTGGTATGTCAAGCTCAAGTAAAACTGCACTGCAAAAAATCTTTTCAAATAATGCCTTTGGAAATGCCATTATAATAAACAGCTTTCACAACAACAAGAAGTCAAGTTCATGACAAATGCAAATTATGTTTATAATAACAACTTTCTGAACTTAAACATCAAAAGTAGAATAAGTTCAAAACATATTCAAGTATTTACTGAAGAATAGCAAAAACAATTTGTACAAAACACTGAGAACCAAAGTGTGCTTGGCGAGTCCAGGTGTTTATGCTGACTAGACTGTCATATTGCAATCCGGTTAGCATGAGGAGACTTGGGCGTAAAGTGTCCAATTCCTGGAGGGCTCCCATGTGTTATTCCAGGTTTTGCCACTGTAAAGTATTAGAAGTGCACAACATCATTACTAAACAAAGAATGAGTGTTAGGTTTCATTTAGAAAGTTCAGTGATATTTCTTTATATATGTAAAGTGTCATTAAACCTGGCACTCTTGAATTAACTGTATAATAGGTTAAACATTTCCAGCATGTTTCCATGTATTCCAAGCAGATCTGTCAGTTCTACACTCAGAGATCAGGATAGTGACTGCACTTCTCATTATGAACACCCTTATCCTTCACATACATTTTTATTACCACTGATGTCCACTGTTGTAGTTTTCATTGAAGGGAATGCTGACACAAATTCCAGCAAGTTTTTTTTTTTTTTAAATAGCAGAAGATGGGTATTATTGGGCCAAAACCTTAAAAAATATAAGATGCAAGATTTGAATCTTGATGAACATATTGTTAATTCACTTCTTGCAATTGAAAACACATCTCATTTTTGACTCATCAATTATATGAAAACTACTACAGCATACAGTGCTCCACCCTAAAAATATTTCTAAATTATAACAAGCTTATTGTTTTACAAGGCTAAACATTAATTTCATGCCTGCATGATTCACTGCTTTTACTGAAACCCATTACACTCTTAACTCAAACTAGTTGACTTTATAAAAAAAACTGCATGGAAAATGTTGCCTTAAACCCTTTATGTTTTTACACAAGGTGAAACTAAACAGCCCTCTTTAAATTAACCTAGAACCTTTACAATCTTCTTGGACTTACAGTAATATTTTAATTCAAGTATGGCTGTTAAGTTGTACCCTGTATAAAATGTAAGGGGTTTAAGGCACTGGGTTTCTATACAATTTTCTAGTAAAGTCAACTAGATAGGGTTAAAGGAATAGTTCACTATTTACTCTCCCTCAAGTGGTTGTAAACCTTTTTTTTTTAAAACTTCCAAGTTACTTTGTGTTGAACATGAAGGAAGTTTTTGAAGAAAGCTGAAAAGCTGAAAACATTGACATGCATAGTAGGAAAAAACAAATACCATGGAAGTTAATGTTTGCAGGTTTTCATCTTTCTTTAAAATATAAATTGTGTTTAACTGAAGAAAGCAACTCAGACATATTTGGAACAAGTGAAGGATGAGTCATTAATGACAGTATTTTCATTTTTGGGTGAATCTCTTTAAGAGTATACTGAAAGAAATGTCCTACTCAATGTAGCTAACTTCAGCTGCATGTGTAGCCCCATAAGTACTTATCTAGAAATCAAAACAATAATCACGTTAGTCCCATTTTAGGCCTTTTATATCATATTGGCCAAAGAATGGACTACTTAGTGTTGCAATGAAATTAAAAAATTGATAAAATTATGACTTACCACACAATACAAGACAAACAGTGAATTTTCAGCTCTGCCTTTGCTGTACAAAATATGAGGTTCCAGCTTCAACACTGATCTTGAGTGGGGCAGTTGTGCAGCTCTGTGAGGTTGTGACTGTTCAGGTGCAGTGCTGTGAAGAGTTCTTTATTAAAAGAAAGTACATTCTTTTAAAATCTGTACATAATAACAAAGAAAATACAATGATTTTAAATAATGATTAATTCTGAACAAAAACCTTACCCTTAGTCAAGATGAATTCATATGTCAAAAGTTTCTGCATCTAAAATGAATAAAAACAGATGTGACATTAGTTAAACCCACTAAACTACTAGATACATCAGTACTGCATTAAGCAGTTGTAAAGTAATGTAAGTGTAGTCCAAAATGAGCCTTAATCTGTTTAAGATAATGATTTAAAAAACGTTGCTTGTGTTAAAAACAATCCAGCCACTTGTAATACATATGATCAATGGTAAATTTCTGAGAAGGTGCAAGGTAATCCTTGAGTTTTACCATTACCATCCTGACTGACATAATATTGGACAAAGAAGACAGCTTGTTGTGCCTCTTTACCACAATTTAGAGATGATAGATTCTTTCTTTTATTAAATAAATTGGTAAAGGCCAAATTATACTTGTAATAGTGTAAGATATTCATTGTGACATACATCAGCTTAAGTTATACTTGAGCTTTTGTTATGTTATATATATATATATATATATATATATATATATATATATATGTGTGTGTGTGTGTGTGTGTGTGTGTGTGTGTGTGTGTGTGTGTGTGTGTGTTTTAAGAAAATAATTGTTTTTACAATGTAGCCTTTAAACCTTTGGAAACACTTGATGTTCTTTAATATTGAAACAATTACGAATACATTTGTATTATTAGAGTTGCATACTGCATATTATATATAGATTTTGCACGAATTCTATTGTGGAAAACAACAATCTGGTAATACTGTTCCTTATCTTAAAATGTATATATTGTTCTAATGCATGACCAACGTTATATTTGAGAAAAATATGTTTTTAATAAATGAACTTGATGTAATTAGATAACGTCGCTAGTTTACAGTACATGCTTTATCAACAAATCGTCTTTATTTACTTTTTACTTACCTTGTGGAAAACCGCAGTGAACCTTGGGATCGCAATGAACCTTGGGATAGCGAGCATAGACTGTAAAAAATAGATCGCCACATACAATGACCCCAACTTCAATGAATAATTTAAAATGAAAAAAGATCAGCCGAAAACATTTTTAAACTTAGTACTTGAAATGTAATATTTTTTAAAGTAAAAAAATAATAAATAATATGAATGAATCAAAGTTTTATTAGTAGTATAGTTTTATAGTTAACCTAAACTGGACAACCGAATATATTTTCACTCATTAAATATAAAGTAAATGATAACATATTTATAAACACCAACTAATCTCCAATAAAAATAGATTATGCAGCATTAACGTAATATTTAATGTTGACAGTTGAACTCATCTGAGAACTCACCGTTGATGCAGTTTGACCAATAGCAGAGCGGCGTTAAACTCACCGTGAAGGGATGTCACGTGGACCGAAGTTTATTCATACAGTAGTTTCGACCCAGTTTACAGACGCTTTTCATGAACAAAATAAAAATTACATATTTTTAAAAGAAGAAAACTGCGATAATAGGCGTAAATCAGGTTTTAAAAAGTGCGTTGACATCTATTGGTAATTATACGAGCCTCCAGCGTCTCCCTATGACGCTTCAGGCTCAGGTACAGATTCTATAGGGAATCCCTGCACGTCTAAATGTGACGCTAAAGGGGTACCCTGTGCGTCAATAACTTACGCCGAGGGTTCCTGACCAAGCGTCAGTATATGACGAGTTGGGAGTGAGAACGTGTTGCTCATACATGCCTGCTACAACAAAAAAATGTCCCAAATATTTCAGAGACATCTATGTCCACATGCCAGAAACATATATGTCCCATATATGTCAGACACATGTCACCTGTATAGCACATATATGTCCCATATATGTCAGACACATATGTCACCTGTATAGCACATATATGTCTTATTTATGTCAGAAACATGTATGCCCACATATATGCCAGAAACATATATGGCACATGTATGTATAAAACAATTAATGTATGTCCCATATATGTCAGAAACATCTATTTCCACATATTTACAAGAAAGGTATACAACCCTAATGCAAATAACAAATAAATGTCCCAAATATGCTCTTTTCTTCTTTGCGCTATTGTGCGTTTTGGTTCTGTCGGTGTAACTCGCAGATGATCCCTAAAACTGCGTGCGTGAATGTCCGGTGAATATCAAAACTAAATCTAACTTTACCGAGCTTATTAAGCTATACCTTAAATAAAACAGTCACAACGCTGTGTCTTATGAAACACCAGGTCAAATGCACATAGTGCATCTTAAGAGAAAGCAGTCAAAGCCTTTTTAGAAATCTTTTCTGTTATCCCTGCTGAAAAATCCAGCGTAAACCAGTGTAGGCTGGTTGGCTGGTTTTAGCTGGTTGACCAAGCTGGTTTTAGAGGGGTTTTGGCCATTTCCAGGCTGGTTTCCAGACATTTCCAGCCTGGTCTTGGCTGGTAAGGCTGGAAAATGACCAGCTAAATCCAGCTAAAACCAGCTTGACCAGCCTGGTTTAAGCTGGACATAGCTGGTTTTGGCTGGACTCTCAGCTTGGCTAGGCTGGTCAAGCTGGTTTTAGCTGGTCATCTCCCAGCCTGACCAGCTAAGACCAGGCTGGAAATGGCTGGAAACCAGCCTGGAAATGGCCAAAACCCCTCTAAAACCAGCCTGGTCGACCAGCTAAAACCAGCCAACCAGCCTAGGCTGGTTTAAGCTGGATTTTTCTGTAGGGAAATATGAAGGGAAATGTTGCAAAAGAAAAAACATCAGGCAAATGTAAGAGAACATCACATTATGAAACTTGCTATCCTTATACATAAACTGACTTTAACTATATTCTTGCTTAAAATCGAATAAAACTTGATTTTGTGGCGTAATTAAGTAGTGTTTTTTTCTAATTTAGCGGATTTCCCCTCCGCCGTTAACAGTCCCAACTCAGGTTTCCTGTGCAGCGAAGCGCAGTTATTTTGAAAACTGACTGGAACTACCTGTGCATTTCAACCAATGGATTTCAACGAAAATATTGCACACCATTCAGCCAATCAGAATCAGACCATGGAATTAAAAATAAACAAATAAGATACTCAGACAATCAGCTTCAGCCTTGATGACATCATGGAACCTCAGAGTTCCATTTAGAATTGTTAGAACAGGTGCGTTGTGAGATGAGAAACCAGAGCTGCAAAAAAGAGTGGAAAATGTCGACTTTACAGCTTCAGGAGCAGATTTCTACAGCATATTCCGGCTTTCTGGAAGAAGAGACCATCACATTCACAGGAGGAATCAACAACAAGTAACTACACAAGCCACAAAACACAAACTAGTTATATGAGTTAAAAGCTTAAGCCATGGGCGGTTCTAGACCATTTTTTAGTATGTAACGTTAAATTGAGCTGATCTAACACCACATATTAAACTATTCCAATTTATTTTAAGAAATGTTCACTTTAAAGGTTTAAATGAAAATTGCAATCTCACTTCAAACACCCACACGATCTTAATTATAGTTGGGATTGTTAGTTGCACATTTATTCTTTTTGAGCAGTATTATAATATCTGAGACAAAAATAAGTGCTAAGATAACTGTTGATGGTTCAGATATGAACACTGATTTTGCTAATGATTATTATAACCAACCGTTTGAAGCAATTTGAAGTTTTTTCTTTTATGGGAATACATTTTACGCTAAAAAGTGGCGTAAATTACCACCTACGCTCCAGAATATGTGCCTTATGCTAAAAGCTTCAAGCTGAGATTCTCTTATTTTAAGTTATACATGATAGATTTATGGGAAAAATAAAACATGTATAATGTTTTAATTATTTGAAGATTCAAAAAGCGTTAACAACCACTGAAACTATTGGAGTTGTACAACTGATTTTTATTTGTAAAATCTATTATGATTAGCAAATGTTAATAAATATAACATAGATGCAAAATATAATTATATATTTATTATTATATATATATTATATATTATATATATTATATATTATATAATATATATAAAGTCCCAACCTCTTTCTGTTTTATGAGGTGATTATGATAATTTATGATAGTACAGAGTTTTAGAATAAATACAGAGTAGGCCTATAATAGCTTCACTTTACTTTTAAATTATACATTATAGTTATGTTTTACTGTAAATTACTATAGTATTTTTCATGTGTTTGTATTACATTGGCTGTGTATATACAGACAGTCATGGTAACTACGTATTCAGCATCAGTATCTTGCTAATAGCTTAAATATTTTCAGCCATAAAATGATCTTAAAACAAGTGGATTACCTTGTGAAATGTTGGGATTTAAAGCAAAATAAACCATTCCTGAGATTATAAGAGGACAAATTTAAACAGGAAGCTAAAGGTTGCAGTTTTCCTGAATTTCCAGACACTGACCTGACTTTATTCATGTGAGGAGATATTAAAGTATGTTTGCCATCTTTGATGGTAGAAAAGAAATGTATTAACAGAAAGATGTGATTATGAGGGGGTGTTTCTGTGTGGAAAGTTAACCAAAGGACAATTGAAATAAATGTTTAAGTATCAAACCTTCAAGATAACTTCTCCCTGACATCCTGACCTCTGCAACGACTTCACAAAGAAGAGTTTGGCAGACTGTGGCAGAAGGCAGAGAAGTCACAAACAAGTAAGATTTTAAATGCATTTTTTGACACACACACACACGCACACACACACACATATACATATATACACGTGTGTATATATACAGTCGAGATCAAATTTATTAGCTCACCTATAAAATTTTCATTGTTTTATAATTTTTCCTCCAATTTCCATTTATCAACACGTTCTGTCATTCAACACATTTCTAAATATAATACTTTTAATGTCTAATGTCTAATTTCTAATAACTAATTTATTTATTTTTTGCCATATTGACAGTAAGTTATATTTTACTAGATATTTTTATTTATTTATTGATTTTTACTAGATTTTAGATCTTTGTATAACAGTTGTTTGTTCTGTTGACAATTGAAAAAAAAAATATTTATATATATTTAAGGGGGCTAATAATGTTGACCTTAAAATGGTGTCTTAAAAATAAAAACTGCTTTTGTTCTAGATGAAATGAAACAAATAAGACTTTCTCCAGAAGA